TTGCAATAATAAGTACCGGTTTATGCAGCGTGATTAGCTCAGTTCGGAACTACATGACTTAGTGAATATCTCTGCACCTAGGCCCTAATTGTTATAATTAGAAATGGGTATGGGTAATAATGGTAATAATGATAATGATAATAAAAATGATAATATTTAAAATAGGCCTAATAATAATAAGTAATAATAAAATGATAACTTTAAATTCCACATTTTACAATAATGGTAATAATAATAATAATAATAATAATAATAATAATAATAATAATAATAGAAATAACAATAGTAATAATAATATTTATAAAGTATTAATAAGCATAAGATAAAAATTAACAGGCAATTCTACTTTTTACAATCATAATATAAATATTACATTCATCTTCTAACTTTAGCATAACATAAACCACAGACATACCCTGTAGGCCTATAGGGTTTGTGAATAAACGAACTGATATAAAGATTTCCAACTCCACACTGACCAGTAGATAATAGACATCATGGACCTATGCGTCTTTCCATTAGTTTTAAAATCAACACCATCTGATCACATATTATTGATCTTGTGATCAGAAATAATTAATTTTTATGTCCAGAGCAATTAATTTTCATCACTTGTAACGTAAAGAGACAGCGAAATAAAAGAATTAATTTCGATAATCCGGCGACAAATCGGACCTATCTTATTGTAGCATGCAAGAATGTTATTTAGACGCATAATAAAGTAACTGTAATGTATTGAAACGTCCACAAGTCAGATAAATTGCACCAATGCTTCTATACCGTAAGCATTCTGCTCTGTCCCTCACCAAGGACGGTGTACAATTCATCTGTAAGCAGTTAGCCAGACCCCTCCATGGCCAGACATTACATTTTCTACACTCCTTCTAATCTTGTTTAATTAAACTTTTGTATACAGTTCCATTCACCACACAGACATAATCTTCATTAATTAAGTCTAATGATGGGTTTCTTTCATTCAGCGCCACTGCCGATGGTCACGATGGGCTGAAAACTAACCTAGATTTGAAGTATGAGGTTGGGTTCTAACTATAGAACTGTAATGACAGTTGATCTGGGCGGAGGATCGCTAATGACATTTAATGAATTGCTTTATTGAGAAAAGAAGAAGAGTTTAAGAGTTTGAATAATATTACTACATACTTCATTCACTTTATTCGGAAACCACTATTAGGTCTACTGGGCTTTTTTTCGTCTCTTTCGGGGCGGCTCTAAGTTACGTCGTCTCAGGCTCTTGTGAAAGGATCACTTTATCCTTTGCCTACCCCGGGGCCTACAACAAACCATGGACTCCACATACAATACACGAATGTTCGAATTCATTCGGCGAAGAAATGAAGAAAGCAAACCAATCTTTGTTACAAAACGAATCTTCGATAGCACAATTTATTTTAATTATCAGTTGTAATCTTGTCAACTCTATATATTTATATTGTTACTCGTGAACAGAAAGAGAATAACGATGTTTATTGGTGAAGTTTAAAGAAAATTGAAAATTGTGTTGTGACCGTACTCAGCTATCTGAGGGAAGGTCCATACTGTTACTAACATGCTGTATTTGGGTTGAGAAGAAAACCGAATAGGCCTACGTAGATTGCTTTATAGCTAAGAAACAAGCAAAAATCTTCTACTTCCATTATTTAAAATGCAAGTCTTCTAAAAGTTGTAGCCACCTCTATAATTATTAATCCTAGGTTTTATTTACTGTAAAAACTGCAAAAAGTTACCTCTCTGTGTATCTGAAATTGAATTTATTTTTAGAGTTTGAGAACAAATCTTAGCAATTGCAAAATTTGATTTTAAAACATAGGGAAAAACCTTAATTATAACGTGCTCACCGTATACGTTTAGTCTAATTAATAATGTACCTGTTTAAAATCGCTGGGATAAATTGTGGCTTTTACCATGCTTTTACTATATTTGAACCCAGAATATAGGAGTAAGGCAGGTATTTTAACCACCAGATCATAGCTACACATAGTCCGTATCTCAATTTGTATTTTATAATATAATAATCGGCACTATTATTAAACTTAGATTTAATGGTTGTGGTGATTCGTGTTTAAAACGTGCACTAATTTCATACAAAACAATAACAATGGACCGGTAAACCGTTCATAAGCCTGTAATATTTGGTTCGTGTTCAACCAACAAAAATTTAAAATAAACGCAATTATATTCAATGAAAGGATGACAGGCATGATGATAATAGCGCATTAGCCGTCCATTTGTTGTTCGTGATAGATAACGTTTCTTACTACTAAAATGATATTAAAATAACGAATACAATCTAAACTAAAATATAATAATAAGGAGTATTTAATGATGTTTTAATACGAAGGTTGTGGATGAAATATGCTTTTAGAATTAATGGATGAATGTATATTGCCTGTAGTACAATCACGAGGCCAATATGTATCTCGTAGGCCTGTGACTCATATTTCCGTATGTCAGCATAGCGTAGGAAAATGATCGTTAATATAATGGTTTAAAGTATAATAATGAGTCGATATGACAAAACCTGATGATGATAATTATGATTCTGCACATTTCTCAATGTGTCATATACATGATGTAGATCCTAATCATATTCCGTGTAAACATGATTGTTAATAAATATAGACTATGTAAAGATGTTTCTCGTTGTATTAGAATTATTATTATTATTATTATCATCATCATCATCATCATCATCATCATCATCATCATCATCATCATCATTATTATTATTATTATTATTATTAATATTATTATTATTATTAGGCCTATTATTATTTTTATTATTAAACTACTAAATAGGCTTGTTTGTAAAATACTAACTAATGTATTAAAAATATTTAGGCCTAATTAAGTTCAAACATGATATATCGATCTTTTCATTTTAGGCTGGGAGTGGAGGGGGAGGGGAGGGTCTGACTAGGGGTTCGTCTGTTTCTTTGTTTTTAGTCATGGGCAAATTATTGCGTTTGCTGATATTCACTTTGTCTCTGGGATTGGAAACCATGCATTTTAACCTCCGAAAGTATAGCTTAAATTCACCGCATAATTAAACCATATTTTTTTTGTGTGGGCAACGATGTTTATAGTGGTTTAATTTCCTGCATTTGTTTTGATCCATTGGTTCGTTTTAACAATTTACTTTCATCGAATGTAATGATAGGTCCTCTAGATCAATTGTACAACGCATCTCGTTTAAGCAGACACTTAATATTTCGTCTTATTACTTCACAGTACAATAATAAAACGCAGCGTGCACAGCACCATCTCGCCCAGTACTTAACAAGCAAAACGAACTCATCCGTTCCACTTAAGACTTAATGACCATCTTTTCAATAACACTGGTGTCTATTATACTTTGAACTGAAGCTAAACAGTGGTTATTAAACGTAATTATCATCTCTAATGAGTATGTTATTACTTATATACTCTGATCAATAACTTCCTATAATTCTAGTGGATAGCTAAACAATAGCTTTATGCAAGTTAATTGCTTACTGCCGATATTAAACACACGAAGTCGGATATTGCAAATACGTATATGACGTGCATAAGTTTTCGTTGAATGAGTAAGAATAGCCTATAAGACGTAAAAGCTTGTCACTTGTAATATACCGCGCCAGTAAATGATTTTGTTACATTACCCAAAAGAATACCGGAGGATGTTTACAGCTGATCTGATCTAATGTTAATGGTAAGAGACTTGACCAATATCGCTAGTCTATACTAAATTTACTCATAATTTTAAAGACCTATTAACACTGGACACGGTAACAACGCGCGGGTTAGAGAAAAATAGAGCTCACAGTATTTTTTTATCGCATAGTATCGCACTCGCGTAGCGTTTATTGCAATGCTTGAACTGTGAATCAAAATCGGTTCACATAGTTTGTTTACTTTAATATCTAATTATTATTATTATTTTGATGATACGATTTTCGTTTTCCACTTATCACGATGTGCATATTTGTTTTAAACATTAGGCCTAACACATAATGCGGCAGAGTTATAAGCGAGTGCGCGTTAGATCAGACTACCAAATAGGATGTATATTTTTCAATACGCAAAGAAACCAAAATACGGACTACCATAGAACAGGCTGAATGGTCTGTCTTACAAAATAATGTGTCATTACAAGCTTCCTTGGCAGGTATTGCTTTGATGTTACCGCCACGTTGCTAATGATCACTTTAATGATCCTCGTTTCTGTTAACACCACATTTGTTAATTTGGTTCTATTAGGCTAAGCTTTAATAACGATAAACGAATCTATCATAAATGATAATTTTGTGATGATACAGGAGATCTAAGATAAGTACAGTACATCAAGCGATAGATGGCAGCAGATATAACGCGTTCACCAAAAATATTTGCCGATGAGGGCGGAAATGTATTTCAGGTCGGGTAAGTGGTAACTGATAGGCCGATATCGAATACCGCACTTTCCGCTCCGCTTTCAAAAACTGTTTACCGGTACTGATCCGTATATTTGTTGATTACGGTATATTATAGGCCTAAACATCGATGGTATTGATAGAACATATAACGATGAAAATGAAAATAATATTTACTGTATGGTAATAATAATAATAATAATAATAATAATAATAATAATAATAATAATAAAATCATGGAATAACATTACATAATCAACAACAATAACAATAATAGGCCTATTATAATGATATTATCTAATAGAGGTTAATAAAAAAAATGACAAAGCAACAACACCAATAATAATAATAATAGAATATTAATATACTGATAATAATAACATATATTTTGATGATGATAGTGATATACTAATAATAGGCCTAGATAATATGATAACAACAGCAACAACAATATAATACATAGTATGAAAAATAGTAATGATGAAGATATAAGGATAACAATTGTTGATGATGATGATAAAAATAAGTGTTGTACGAGATATTGTATTTATATACAGTACCGTATGTAATAATTCAAATACAAATCAGCAGTCAATTGCTTTAATTTTATTCAAATGTATTTACTGTACAAAAAACTGTATTAAGAGGATAACATTTCTATTTCAATTGGTATACTCTCATAAGTCGATATCTATCAGACACAAACACATTTGGTTATTAAATATTATGTGACACTAAATTCATTAAGTACAACGTTACACATACCAATAAAGTACATTAGTGAAATAAACCACGCCATCTATTATAATAGTTGTATGTATTATATACCGTAATAAATAACTAAGGAATAATAACATTTATATAAAAAAGTGTTTGTGACATAACTCAAAATATCAGCAATAAACTGGTATTATAAGTCCATCAGTTAATAGTTCCGAAAGGTTTTGGATTGATTTCAGTGTGTCGCATTAACTCATGAATATTAATATCCATCGCAATTGCAGCTGTGCGGAAAAACTCTCTACCACTTCCACAACGATAACCGTTGTGGCGCCCTCTATATACAATACTGGAAACATCATTTGGACAAAATTCCTACATCTTTGTCTAATTAGTAATTATAGTACATGTACATCTCCTCAAGCAAACTCAATTTTATGATCACTTTAGGCAGCTAAAAATCGACAATTTGGCTTTACCTTAAAATACCTTGCCAGGAGCCTGGACAACAACGCGAAATTAATTAGATACTAGTAGGGTCTGAATTTTTTTATGTTACTAACGGATTGTCATTTCCTAACTTACGATACAAATATATAAACCGATAAACTGTTCAACGAAATATATTTGTCTGAAAAAATGTCTATTCTAATGTATTATGGCACATATTGTTCTACCAAACCAAATAAGTGTTACAAATATTTGCATTCAGACGACTAAGGTACCAAGTAGAATTACACTAACGTGTTATTATTTAATTGCAGACATTATTAGCAAAAGCAGACATAAGACGGATTATTAACTGGGTTAATTTACCTTTCCGGGGTGCCATCAAACCTGGCAACTGACCAACCAGTAAAGGGCCAAAAACACGCGCGTGTCTCGCGCAAAGCTTTCGATCCCAAAAACGCACATCTTTACGTACGGTATGTTTTTACACTGACGTTTTGTGACGTTTTGTGAACCTTAGCAACAGTATCGAAGGGGCGGGGCTTAGCGCAAAGGTCCATTTACCATAATATTTATACTTTTGTGTATAGAATATTTGTAGGGAATGCGTTACGAATCGGTTTGATGATTCCCTGACGAAGTGGTGTAGAAACTGCGAAGCTTATCAAAGGTATGGAAGCAGGAAAGAAGATATGAAGTATGTGAGCCACCATTAACATCTTGTACACGGTCTCAGTGAATTGGATAGCACCAAAGTAGTGCACGGTAACTATAATATCCATTGGGCCAAGCAGTAGAGTGAACGATAAAGCCAGCATAAACAGCAGAGAAGTCACCTGAAACAAACAGAAACAAATTAACAATGAGATTGTGGACTTTATGCATGACCTGCCATATTTTATGCGCGGATGCACTGAAAAAATAGTTGAATATATCTTTAAACAACTTCAGTCGATGATTTTTACTCACCTGATTTTCGCTCTTCACATTTGAATTCACGTCTATGGTTCCTACAATGAAAGAGAAGTCATCTTTTAGCACCGCATGACCGTTGCTGCTATTCGTGTTGCCGCACTCATTGAGACGTATGTCGCCATTTTCCGACTGATTATTGGAGTTGAACGGCTGTGCCTCATCATATTGCCGTACGTAAGAGACCGTTTCCGTTGACATCGCCGAGAAGAATTTACGACGGTAAAAATACATCAGAGGGTTGACTAACCATAAAATAATAAACGGTACGGCAAATGATACTATGAAATGGAATGTATGCCACGTGATCTGCGAACGCCAAGTTGGAAACTTTGGTCCGCAGAATTTGTGCCCGTAATAGTTATCAACACTCTGTGGGGAAAGAAATACGAATGACCAACGGGTTAATATTTCTAGCTTAGATACTGAATGATTGTATCTATAATTATACACTTTTTCGTTTTTTTTTTTGTTGTTTTTTTTTTGTTTTAAAAAAAATTGAATTCGCCTTCAGGCTGGGGGTCCCTAGTGTATAAGGGAAACTTCGGCACCGAGTAATAATTTCTTATGAATTGAATGATAGCTATAAAATGTTATAACATGATTAATACTAAATGATTTTACATCTGTATTTTTAAATCTGTTTTAGCGAGCTATCTTTTATTCTGCTGAAGATCATAGACCAGGAAATAGGAAGCCGATATAAGCTTACTTCAAGAACGTCGCCAAAAGAGCTTCGTTAACACATAATAAAAGTTTATTGCTGTGCTTTCTTCCTGTTAAAAATTTGAATTTGAAGGATAACATTCAATACAGTGCAATATTAGGAAACAACTTCCCTTAAATTTAGCTGCGTCACAACAATAAATCACACAAGTTTAAATAAAGTTTATCCCTGGGGAAATAAAACCAAAACAGGGACTGTAAATTCAAATATAATAATGACTCTTTTCTGTTTATTTGAATTGATTTATTTTAGGCATATCTGTCTCTGGTGCCGAGGCCTCAGGTATTATATACTTACCTTACTTACCTTTGCAACACATTCCCTGTTTGTATTTTTACATCATGTTCTTGAAACAAACTCTTGTATTAGACCGTAACAATAATTATTATTAAATTATATGACCTTTTTTAGAAAATTACAAGTTTTTAACGCACATGGAAAATTGCCGTCGGAATACAGAAAACGAGGGAAATAACGGCGATGATGCCGACACCGATAGCTGATTTATACTTTGGGTGCTCCCTGAAACTACGCTTCATCACACTATGCGACAGTAGCCTATACAAAGAGAGAAACTGTAGTTTAATATAAATGGTTTTGGCTAATTACGTACCATATCTATTGTTTATAAATTATATTTTAGCATCAATTACAATTACTAGGAACTTTACGCAAGAGTGGACGGGAGCCGTCGACAACAAGAATTCAGGTTTAGCGCTCAAGTTTTGACTGTGGTTTTCACGCTCTGATGAGCACAGAAGCCCCGTCCTGTTGCGTAAAGTGCCTGGGAGCGGTTGGCGCTATAACGATTGCGATTCTGGCTCAATCTTGATGTTGGAGGTTTGAACCGTCGGAACTTTGCTTGTCTCTTCTGGCAAGGCAATTTAACTACGTATGACTCTTTCCAGGGAGTATAAATGGGTACCTGGTAGAATGTTGTGGAATTGAATGAATTATTTTGTGTGCATTGAATTGCAGTACCACTAAGTATACTACCCTGGAAATATAAAAAAATGGTTGCGTTTTTGTGCCGGTTGCCAACTTAATAGATAAAATAACCAGGGACACGAAAATATCAATAGCGCCTGTGTACATGGCAGGGACTAGTGGATTTGAAGTCTCTAAATCCGAGCACTCACTGCGCATGCGTCGTACAACATATCCAACTCCGCTCCCTAGCTGTCAGCGCTAGACGACGCGACACCGTCTGATGATCGAGTTCTAGGCCAGATGGCCGAAATCCAGTTTGCCGAGTGTCAGTTTGCCGACTCAAAATCAAGGAATCCCAGTTGGCCGAAACCCAGTTTGCCGAACCCAGTTTGCCGAAAGTCAATTAAAAGCAGTGAAACATTAACAGCAGCATAAAATTCACGGTGGAATATCGGTAGTCTCTTACTCCTACCATGGACCTGTCAGTCCATGTTCTTACCATGGCTGCAACTGCATGACGGGGAGACGCTCGCTTGCGCTAGCGAAAAGACATGACCTATGGCCAGCCTGATTGAGAATTTATGCCTTGAGAAGCCATTCCAAAACACAATGCTATCACTGTGTATTAGTAAAATAAATAGTGGCTTGTTGACATAGTTTAATGATTCTTTTTGTTCTATTCTATTAATCAAATCAAATCAAATAAATCAGATAAAATGTCCAATAAGCATGTTCATTATTAATATATAATTTTCAATTAAGATAATAATAATTAGGGGCCTATATGCATACTTTAAGGAAATAAATATATCAATAATAATCTACAAAAATACACACATGTGGTGCCCCATAAATTTTCCGACATGGGGCCAACTTCGGTCAGGGTCCCAGCATAATTCTCTGGCAGGGTTGACAGTTTTTTTTAGAAAAGTGGTTTTGGCAATCAAAATAACGTTACAGATAGGCAAATTATTATACAGTATTTTGGCCGCGGCCGACAACCTCGTAGTTGCGTCGAGAGCGCGGGAGGGTCCAGGCTTTCCCGACGGAGGGGATGTCTCCCTTACCCCGCTCACACCAGGCTTTAATATTATTAAAAGGCTTGGACGTCTGTGTTAATGACGGTCATAATATTTACTGTACTGTTATTATATTTACTGTTATTTTTATGTTTACTGTTACTAGACTTTATTAATATTATATTTAATGTAAGGAATGTCAGCAAATAATTGTCTTCTCACTGTCCCCTCCTTGAGATTAAAAAAAATATGACCAACGAACATTTGCTTATTGTGTCCCATTTCTTTGGATCGCCTTACCCTCCCTACATTCATTTAGTCTCAAATTCAAATCAATATCACTCCATCTAGTCTATACTCTGTGTTTCTACGTTCATATCTACATTATCTTTTTATTATAAAAAAAATATTATTAAAAATCATAGAAACACAGATCACGGCATCTGATCATGCAAACAGGCAATCGTAAAAGTACAGTAGGTAAAATGATATGTTCTATAAACAATATATGGTAATGTAATAATGTAGGACTCTAAGGCTTACACTAGTTCAGTGTGATTATTATAGTGATTGAAATGTCATTAATATAAAGTGATTGTATACATAATTTTCATGAACTACCAAACAATCGTCTGTTTTGAAAAGCAATCTGAAAAAAAAAATACTACAATTTTCGTGATCGCTCTAACATGCCTATAAAGCCTTAACAAACACGTTTGTATCCAACATGACGACGAATAGCTGCTAGGATAGATTTAAGTTTCTTTGGTAAACAGCTCACCAAGTCGGTAAGGCTTGGGGACTAGCTTTTGTCGAAACACGAGTACTCCCCGCGTCTCCCAGCAACCCTAGTTTAGTTACTGGACAGGTAACTATTTGGGTCCCAGTACGCAACCCCCACCCTCTTTTCTACCCGACCGTAGATACGTCACTGGCATTAGCAGTTTAAAAAAGTCTATCTTACCGTTACGTCATACTAACAGAGCAATATTTCTTAAAGGTTAAATGGGTTTATAATTACATAGATTACTTCAGTACTGGATAGATCATACCTGAAGAAGTGGCTGTGCTGGATTGTCCGCAGAACGCTGACACAGAACCGACTTCACGATGGAGACATTCTGACTCCACATCAACCTCATGGTGATGCGTAGTGGAGTGCACAACTAAAATTATCCTCTCCCGTAGTAAGTAGGCCTACTCTGCCGGGGCGCATTATTTTTTCCCCATACAGTTCCGACAGAAATTAGGGAGGGCACTATTTAAGGTCATTTAGGTGAACTGATAACATGAATAATTCATGCATGCTTGACACTTCTCGCAAGTCACGAAAGTGGCGTGGTGTTCGCTGCTTGTGGAATATGACAGCTACGGCGTTGTTAGGGCATGGAGGAGTTAGTTTAGAAACTAAACTAATTCCTCCATGGTTAGGGTAGGCCAAAATCTCTTGGTAGTTGGTCGAGAAGCAAATGTATACAGTCGATACATAGTGAACTACCGTAATTGACTATTTCTGTAATTACAATATCCCTATTCCTAGGCAGTGTTTACGTACAAGTACCTACAACATGGTCTTTGAAAGTATAAAAAGGCTAGTAGCGTTGAATTTCTGGTCGATCATTTGAGAGCGTAAAGCACAGTTCCGCAACCTATGGGTCGCGACCCAACGACCCAATGTTTGGGTCGCGAAAAAAAATTGATGGGTCGCATAATATCTTCAGATTGTGAAAACTTTACTTAACAAGAACGAAGACAAATTAAATTACAGTAAACGAAAGTGCAATTTAAGTGTGACAAGTGTGTCAGCTTACTATTTGTTATGAGTGCGTTATCACAGTTTCATGTTTGAAATACTGTATACATCAAAACATTTTACTTCAGGTATGACAACATTAAAGTATTAGTTTTGTTCATTTCAATGTGTTAGGCTTTCAGCTGCAAATTATAATGAGAAAACATTTTTAAATGTAATGTATCTATGTCTTCGCATAACCCAATAAATCTCTGGCAGCACTAGGAATTTGTAATAAAATGTCTGTTAATCATTAATTTTTAAACATTTTTAACTTATTGAAAAATTTGATAACTTACGTGATTTGGTTAAATGAGTAATCCAATGTTATATTTTAATTTCTATGGCTTTTAAATAGTGATTTTGTGGGTGATAATATCTTTTATTCAATTCACAAAAGAATCAAATATGTCTCTTATACACATCTAGATGTGTATAAGAGACAGCATATACAGAGTTTCCCAGTGCCCCCTGCTGCCCATTGAAATGTTCAAAGCAAAAAATCATGCTTAAAAATCACCTTATTTTGTGAGCTAGCTCAACTTCAATAGGTAGTTTTCGCCGCACCTGCACTTTAACGTTAGTTCCCAACATGCAACACAATCTGTCTCTTATACACATCTGTTATATTGGTGTCTGGCAAAAACCGAAACCGGACCAGTCGGACCGCTTCCGACGCCCTTGGGCACGCCGGCACATGATGACTATATATGGGCATATATCTGTCTCTTATACACATCTAGATGTGTATAAGAGACAGGGCCTACATCAATAACTTTTGAATTCTAATGATACACATAGCACAAACTGGTACGAAGGTAACAATTACTGTCTCTTATACACATCTGGTTCTTCCCGCTATCCCTCGCGCGTTAAAAACAACGGACGTTTTAATTAATTAGGGTTCGATGGGTCGCGTCAGACTACTTGACATAGGCCTATAATTTGGGTCGTGGGCTAAAAAGGTTGCGGAACGGGGGTTAAATTATGCAATACTGCTATACTGCTGATTCTAAAGGATAAACGTTTAGAAATGCTCGGACACACAGGTACTTCTCTATGTATTGTTTTAATGTTTGACTTCTTACAAACATTTCGTTCATATTCAATATGAATAAAGGCATAGACTATATAGCAAGCAGGTATTATAAACACTAATTTTACGATATTCACATGATATAACGTACTGTTTAGGCTGTGTCTACCCAATTAAATATTGAATAGCTTTATATTTAACACGATCAAAATCAGATGGAAGTAAAAATAGCTTTCATTGATTTACAGACGGTTCTACAAATATCCCTAAATGTTACCAAATGAATCATGCAAAAGAATACAGAAACGCTCACTGTCTGTTAATAGGCAGGGATTTTTTTTCTCATAAAAAAACAAAACTTTTAATTGTAAAATTGTAAGTTAACTGTGTCCAAAGTACTAGTAATTTGTTTTTGAGCATTTCTAACGTTCTTCAGAATCAGTACTACTAAGTAATTGCTACAACACACGCGTCATACTGTAAGCCTAATATTAATATCCAACTTTACAGTTAATTATGGTACGGTACGCAATCTAATTATGAATGGATACAAATAAAAACTTCGGTGTCTGAGATTAAAACGCAAAAATCACTGATAGTATGGCTCGGTGAATTCAAGTGGTGAGCAACAAGGAATCCCTTTTGATGGTCTTTAACAAATTTTTTTGTTGTGACATTCGGTTTCGCCTATATACATAATTGTCGTTTTTACATTTAGTTCAAAATAGTAGTGTGCTGCGCTTTTGCACGACAGTGACGACAAATTCGGAAAACTTGGTTCGGCAAACCGGGTTTCGGCCAACTGACACTTCATGTTTTTGTTGAACTGAATTCGGCAAACTAGGTTCCGGCAATTTGGCCTATATTTGGCAAACCGGGTTTCGGCAAACTGGATTTCGACCAACTGGTCGGATACCGATGAGCGGCATCGGCATCAGCTTCTTGGGACCCATACCAACCAAAAACATTGCTTCGCTTGAAGAGTACAAAGGCAAACTGCTCGCTTTCGTGACTAACAAATACTTTCGGGACACTTTAGTGCCACACAGCTCCTGAACATATTAAAATGAAACAAGACGCGGACTACACCGTCTAAACTTCTTTTAAAAGCAAAAACGGCAAACTAAATGTGAACTACAGTATATACGCCCAGCCCAAACCTGTAAAGGCCAACTCAGACAGCGTCGGCCGACGCAGCCCGACGCGCGATTTGTTGTCGCGTCGGTCTGTGTGAGTTGAACGCAGACGCAATGGTGTTCGTCGGGGGCAGTCGCGTAGTAGAATATTAAACGTGTTTAATATTTCTCACGACAGCTTAAGACTGTCCCCGACAATAAATCGGGTCGGGCTGCTTCGGCCGACGCTGTCTGAGTTGGCCTTAAGAGGACGCAGAGGTCATTCCACAACATTTACTACCCACGACCTAAGCTACTGAAGTTTTTGCAAATCCGTTCTTTCCCCGCACAAGCGTGGAATGAGCTTCAGCAACATACAGTTTCCCAGCAAGACGAAGTTAAGTTTAAGACAGTTCTCTTGCAAGACCCATCCATCCAAAACAAAATTGTAATTAATTAAAATGCAGTCCACCCTCATCGAACCTCCGGTGACAGTCTAAATTCCTGCATGGAATCTTTGGAGGCTGCACATACCAAGTACCAAATATTAAAAACGATCCGTTGCGCGAGTGTCGTTACGATGCGTTCTCTATAGAATCGCGTCGGCCGACGATCGTCGGGCGCAGTGACAGGGGTGGTGCCAGCGGGCCCCGTCGGGGAGAGCCCCCTCCCGTCCTGGAGAAAAAGCACAATTCTTCGGGGAGAAAAAAAATTGTATATATTTTCTACATATTAGTAGACTTTAAAATCGATTAAATAAGACTTTGAAACCCCTAAATCGAAACCTTTTAATTGAAGGTCGACTACACCCACTTTGCTTTCGTAGGGGAAATCTGATCCCTCGTCGGAGACCTCGCCCGCACCCCCCGTCGGGCAAATCCTGGCGCCACCCGTGCGCAGTGAATGTCCAGCTTAAGGCATGATACAAACGCCGGCCGTAGAGTGCAGGAACCCGTGTCCTATGCGCCCTTATTTTAACTATTGAGAGTCGAAAGAGGGCGTGGAATCACAATCTTTTTTCGGTGTTCTAAGAGTGTCAGGATGTAATACCGTACCCAAATGAAATAATGTACCGTATAACATGACCTTATTTATTGCAACCTACCTTATGATGCACATTGCAGCCAAACTTATGCACGTGAAAGTAATCGTCATCATGTGGACAAACGGAAGAAATCTGCAGAGAGCCGGTCCAAAAGTCCATGAAACTTTTATTACATGGACTATAAAGAAAGGGATCGTAATATTCTGAATGGTCAGTGATAACGAAATGGCACCAAGCATGTACCAGACGGCGGCATTCAGAGCTTTGTTGCGCCAAACAGACAGCACGATGCACAGGTTTCCGGGAAATGATATCACGATCGTCAATATATACATGATGAGGTAGGCTTTCGCGTCTTCGAAAACCACGTCATGGCTGATATACTCATATTCACTGTAGTTGCCATAGTAACCTGAAAAGGAAACAATTGATTTGTAGATAAAGGATACCTAGTAACATTATCCGCATGTTATCCTTGGTGGGATTGAATGTAAAACTGTCTTCTTCACCGATTTTTGTCTGCGTTAAACACGCAATGGTATGGTAAGAAATGGCAGGACGTAAGGAAAGTAAAGTCACTAGTGGAACAAGAAAACTAAAGGGGCGTAACCATCCCATTTTTCCACATTTTCCCCCCAAGATTTTAAATATTCAAAAATCTGTATCATTAACCGCTCCGGAGTTTTTCGTCAACCACCCTTTTTGTGCTTAGAAATATCAGTGCATAACACATCAAAATTGTTTTTTCCCACTCGGATCCTGAGCTGAGTGCCTGACCACGCGGAGCTATGTACACAGCCACAGTGTATAACCACAGTAGAACTTTAAATTTAATATCTACAGAATTGATCCGAAAGTTCGGAAATGCGTCCTTTCATTGAGTTTCGGGCGAAGTACTTGTGATGTACCACTTTGAATCTAGTAAAATGGGATAGGTTTGCAGCTTTCCTTCTATCAGCGAGTGATTTGATTTAATCCTAACTTGGGCACTCATAAAAGCCAATGATTTATTAAAAGTCGTGCCCGAGAACTTTGCAAACATTTCTTACTATAGTAACAAGGCACTATTTTGATCACCAATTTGTTATGAAAACACATTACTAACACTCATTACCTAAGAATTATTTACCAACGCTGGTCAACATAACAAACACCAACACTCTACACGTGTTGACCAACGACCAAAGACACTCCTTTATAATACTCGTTACTAGGATAATATTAACCAGACATTTCACTATTAGTATTTACCAACACCAATTTTAATCAATATTCCCAAAATATTTCAGTCAATGTACATTGTTTCGTTCCTTCTTTTATAATAAATTATATTCACACCCTTTCTCTGAAGGTTTATTCGAATTAAGATGGAGACAATATGTTTTTCTCAAAATAATATTATTATCATCCTTTTATGGGGCGCCGTTTGAGACATTGAACAACAGAATGCCTATTTAAAGACATAAATAGCAATGTCCCTAACGGCGCCCCGTACCTCTTGTGTGTGTCGCAAACTCAGTGTCACATAGGCCTACTTTATTATTTCCTGGCCAGTTGTGTCTCATACGCGTAATTGTTACCTTCGTACCAGTTTGTGCTATGTGTATCATTAGAATTCAAAAGTTATTGATGTAGGCCTAACCAAAATATTTTTTTAAAGATACTATTGGTAAATCAATAACGGATATATTCTTCACGATAGGAAGTTTTAACTGGTGCCGTATTGATTTAAACTGTATGTGATTTACACAACGGAAACACTGCGATCCTTATTTACCACAGTTTATAAACTAGGCCTGTAATTTTCAGTAAGCCGACAACATCATCCGATGAACCATTGTGAATTTATTTTCTTTCTCTATTAATGTACCATACGCATTGCACACACATTTTTAAAATCCGTTACTTATTAGCATGGCTACCGATACTCTTCTGTACTCAGTAAGAATATTTTAATAATGCTGTGAAATTAGTACGAGTTTTAATATTGTAGGGCTTAATTAAACTGAATTCAATCTAAGAAAATACGAAATGTTTCTGTTTCACAATCACAGTCGATTGGGCCTAAGGATTAACTTTGATATTCCTGCTTGGTAAGTGTGTCTAAAGTTGCTGATATGACATCACACTTCAATCCAGGCACTTATTTATTTACGATATTGTATATTAGTCTGTTCAGTTTTTATTAATTAGTGGATTAATTATTTTTTCTTTTGTTCTTTCATTCACCATTTATTTCATCATTTATTCACGCATCTATCCATTTATTCGTTCATCCATTGCTTTTTAATTTGTTTTTATTTATTTACTTTAATCATTTAGCCTATAAGTAATTATTTATTTTATTTATTTATTTGATATTAAACATTTTGATTATAATATTCAACATCTTACGCACCAAGCAACAGCTCCATAAATATATAATATAGTTGTGACTTTATTGGTAAGGGGCTCGCCTTTGAAATCCATGGTCCCCTGTTTTGCCTAAAAATAGGCCTATCAGCAACACAAGAGGCCTCTTTTTCGAAATATTAGATCCCTAATACAAAAACTGTTTAGGATGGGACCCACATATTAATCCTGGTAAACTTGGTGACCCGACCTCTATTTTCCTTTATGTTTTACATTCGAAAAGGTGTGGCCGGGGCCGGCCCGTCCCCCTAAATTCGCCCAGGCTATCTGAGAAACAATAATTTTTAATATTCATTACAGTACTGGATACGTCTCTTAGAAAGCTTGTAAAGAATTAAACATTTCTAGATTGTATTTAAAAATGTGTTCCCTTGAAAACCTACGTCTATATTTTTGTAAATTTGACAAATTTTGGCGACCCAAGTAATTTCTTTCGCCAACCAAAGTTGGGTCATGATCCATAGTTTGAATGGCAGTGTATTAGACCACCCTAGTTAAATATAGTATATGGAAATAGCACTTACTGTACTCATCAAAGAAGCTCGCTATCCAGCTCCCACCGTAGAATTCCCAGTCACCGTCCTCCATCTTGTCGCTATACCGGTTGTCTTATCCTGTCTTTCTTCAAAGCTCCCAGTATATATAACGCCACTGCTTCAAACCATTCATCAACGATAATTCTTATCCAGATACAGTAGGCCTAATAGAAGTCGAACCTTAAAGCTGCTCGTTCCTATGAATCAACAGATAGATGCGATTTTTTAATGATCACAAATAACATTTATATACGATTGGCGCTTTGAGAGCTCCCCGTCAATTAGAAGGTATTGATAACAACCCCATTTCCCGTTTTTAGTGGAAGGTAATGTGCTCTGGTAATGAAATATCCCGGTATAATGGAGCTGCAGCCGTGGGGCTTTTAAACACTCCAAGTCAAGTTTTTTAAAGACCCCTTCCAGTCAATCTGATATTTTACCTCATTTTCATCCAAATATCGATGTGGCACTTATTAACTGGTCTGGTTATGAGGAGTTATTAGCTAGGAGACAAATAATGGCATTTTCTGGCAGGGAAGCCAGGCCCTGGGATTAAAAACATTAAAAAATCACATTGTGCGAAGGTCGCACCCCAAGTCATATCTCGTTATTGTTTTTGCTATTTTATTTTTTTATTGCTAGGCCTATAGATAATTTTGTTGTTATTGCTAAATTTTATCTAGTAATTATTATCATTATTGTTATTGCTACTATTTCTATTGTTTATTATCTAAATAATAATAATTATAATAACAATTATTATTATCATATTAGGTTTATGTTATTATTTACAGTTAAAGTATAATCATGATTATGATATTGCACAACAATCTAGATACAGTACTATCCAATGAATTATAAAGCGTCATCCGCGTTTATTGAATAGGCCTACATTTATTTACATATCTTTAAATTGTAAATACCGTGATATTTATTTATTCGCATATTATAACATACACACACCATGTCAAAGATTGTGGTTCTGTTGAATGTGCCACTATAACAGCAGGCCTATGTTAAGTCTAATGAATTAAAGCCTAATGTTTAACATAAAAACATCGTTTAGAAATACAGGTAAATACACAATGGAGTGAAATCAAACATAAACATTGTATTTATTCGTACACATCGTCCGACCTTAAAAAAGTCAAAGTGGAAGGTGGCCATTAACGTCTAATTTACGAGACAAATACTGAGCCTGTCATAAATGAGGCTATGGTTTCACTGACTAACGGGTTATTAACTAGAATGTCATTGAATCAAAGTATACTCGTATCTTGTCGAACCGACTATAATAGCTAATAAAATAAGAGTACTTCCGTATAGGATTCGAGCCTAAGATCTCATCAACGTACGAACTGTTTTCAGAGACATCCATTTTGAAGATGAAGCCATGCCAGAAGAAATCTGAAAATGCTCCCAGACCATTAAGCGTTGCAGTTAAGATAACGAATCGTTTATATAGCTTATGTGTTCTTAGGTAGGTACATGTGTCAATGAAACGATGTCTTCGAAGCGTGTTGTTAAATTTCATAAACATCCTATGCCAAATAAAGTTTGACTGTTTTTTGTTTTTCTTTTTCGCGACTGTTTCCTGAAACTAAATCACCATTTCCCACAAATACACTCGATTTTTTGACTTTGCGACTTTTGAAAAAATTTAGAGAGTTTTAGCTAGGAAATGATGCCGAATTTTTTGTCTTGTAGGAGCTCAATTTCTAGAATGTTTGTTTTTTGGGTTTTCTCCATTTCGCAATCATTTCTAAATTTCGTGTTGGCCATACCTAGTTCCGTAGAGCGTGACCTGCATCCTATACCAGGTCGTTGCTTTTAGGAAACAGGAGGGATGGTTTGTTCCGGTGTACAATACTGTACTTAACATGCTTAAAATGAAATGTTAAGATAAGGTCATATGTGTACGTATGCCCTTACCATGATATTCTTAATGTAATCGTAGGAAAAGAATGTGAATGATATAATATATATATATATTTACCTTTC